CTCCCTCTCTCTGCCTGCCTCTCTGTCTACTTGTGATCTCTCTCTGTCAAATAAATAAATAAAATCTTTAAAAAAAAAAAATAAAAAATAAAATTGATGGGTTACAATCTTTCTTTTTCTTCTCTTGTTTCCTGATAGACCTACCAGAGGGACAGGGGGAAAAAGTTCTTTTTCTTTCTAAATCGTTCTACTAGTGTCATATTGATTCTCTCTCAAGTACGCCCCGTAGTCTCAGATGATCACATAATTTTCTTACGTTCCTTGTATGGATACAGCACCTTGACATGAGCTGCTTTGCTGTGGCGACACTGGTCATCGTTGATATTCCTGGGTTGTACCAAGCCTCCTCTGCATGAAACAAGGGAACAGGCTGTTTTTCAGCAGTACTCTCAGTATTTGAAAAGTGATTATTGTCCACCCCAAGTGCTACCTTAAGTCTCTGTCAGTGTAGTTTAACATTGCTTTTGACCTCTAAGACAATGCTCAAGTTCTTTTGTGTCTCTGCGGATGCAGGAGAACAAGACTCCTCAGCTGAGTGTCAAGATAGTCTCCTGCTGCAGGGTTTGTAGGAAAAAAAGATGTATCGTCAGGTGTCTGAAAGCATACAAGGTGACCTGCTCCTACACGGTCACTGTGGCTCTCTTCCTTACCTCTGCATTCTCTCATCCCCCCTCCCTCTGTTTCAGCTAGCCGTGAGGTGGCTGGAACACAACTGCCATTACCAGTACATGGATGAGCTCCTGCAGTACATCCGCTTCGGCCTGATGGATGTGGACACTCTCCATACAGTTGCCCTGTCCCACCCCCTCGTCCAGGCAAGCGAAACTGCAACCGCTCTTGTCAATGAGGCCCTGGAATACCACCAGAGCATCTATGCACAGCCCGTTTGGCAAACTTGCAGGACCAAACCGCGCTTCCAGTCAGACACTCTGTATATCATTGGCGGGAAAAAGCGTGAGGTCTGTAAAGTCAAGGAACTTCGGTACTTCAATCCTGTTGACCAGGAGAATGCTCTCATAGCTGCCATTGCCAACTGGAGTGAGCTGGCTCCCATGCCCGTGGGAAGGAGCCATCACTGTGTGGCAGTCATGGGGGACTTTCTGTTTGTAGCAGGCGGAGAAGTTGAGCACGCTAGCGGCCGGACATGTGCCGTGAGGACTGCCTGTCGCTATGACCCCCGCAGTAATTCCTGGGCCGAGATAGCACCCATGAAAAACTGCCGGGAACATTTTGTGCTGGGTGCCATGGATGAATACCTCTATGCGGTTGGGGGTAGAAATGAACTGCGCCAGGTTCTGCCTACAGTTGAGCGATATTGCCCCAAGAAGAACAAATGGACTTTTGTGCAGTCCTTTGACCGATCCCTTTCATGCCATGCTGGATATGTGGCCGATGGTCTTCTTTGGATATCAGGTAGAACATGCCTCGTAATGTTGGATTTTTCAAAAACCACTTCCGTTGTGGCATAAATTTAAAAATCAAGCTTTGGTAGTCGTGGCCATGTATAATTGAGCCACTGAACCAAGGATGCCATGTTAGCTAATTAACATTCACTTATTGGGCACCAACTCTAGAGAGAGCGATGTTAATTGGAAGTAATTGACCTCTCTGTGACTTTCTGAGTGATTAAAGTATAAGGTGGAAATTAATGGCCCATCACATCCTTTTTCCATCAAACCTTCTTTGTTTAGATTGTCAATCTTTGATACTCATGGACTGTTTTGCGCATTTTGTGGTTTATCCAGATACTTTGCCTTTTTTTTTTTTTTCATCCTGTTTTACAACTAAGAGACGTTTCATCAAAGACAGGGCAGGCAAAGTAAAAACCTACTAAATCCTTTCTGATGGATACAGTAAAAGGTATATACCCAGATAGGAGCCATGCTATGCATGGAGGGAAGGGATTTAAATTATTGGCTAAAGTAATGTTTCTGTATTATCTGTGGGTTTTAGTTATACCTGACAACCTAAATTCCTTATTCTTGCTTACTCTCCCTTTCTTACTATTTGGGGATACTTACTATTGTAGTTTACATTTTCTTCAGTTTTTTTTTTAAAGACTTTTGCTTATGAAAAAAAAAAAAAAAAGAGACTAGTATAATGAACTCCGTGTACCCATGACCCAATTTCAGCAGTATTCCACTAATTGCCAGTCTTGTTTCATCCATGCCACATACTCCTGCAAATCCCTCATGGCTGCCTTTCCACTGGTACAGAAGGAGTCTGTGAGGCATAAGTTATCAGCACCACATTATCAACCTATATTTTCCAATCCAATTCTTGAAAAGACCTAAACTGTTCTCCTTTGAAAGTGTTGCCTATTGGGGAAGAAGGTCCCATCTTCTCTTAATTGGAGGATACTCATTTTGTAACCCAGATGGAACTTGTTGAATTTCCAGGTCAAGGACAAAGAGAAATAGGAAAATCAGATAATTTAAATACTAAGAGTAACTTTGAGATATTTGTGCTTAAAAGAGATGATCACTTTTTTTTTTTTTTTTAAGTCTGTACGTCTTAATCCCTTTTATGTATTTCGCCCTTACCCACCCCCCAACCTTCCCACTGCAAGTCCCAGTGTAGTGTGTTCTCTGTGTTTATGATTCTGTTTCTGGTGTTTTTAGTTTGCATATTTGTTTGTTTTGTTTTCTAGGTTCCACACATAAGTGAAATTATATGGTAATTTGTCCTTTTTCTTACTTATTTTACTTAGCATAATACCCTCTAGGCCCCTCTGTGTTGTCACAAATGGCAAGATCTGATTCTTTTTTTATGGCTGAGTAATACTCCATTAGGGATATCTTCTTTATCCATTCATATATAAATGGACACTTGGGCTGCTTCCATAATTTTGCTATTGGAAATAATACTGCAGTAAACACAGGGGTGCATAAATCTTTTCGAATTAGTGTTTTTGTATTCTTTGGATAAATACCCAGTAATGGAATTACTGGATCATATGGTAGTTGTAATTTTGTAAAGATTTTATTTATTTATTTGGGAGAGAGAGAGAGAGCACAAGCAGGGAGCACTGCAGAGGGAGAGGGAGAAGCAGGCTTCCCACAGAGCAAGGAGCCCGATGCAAGGCTCTATCCCAGGACCCTGAGATCACGACCTGATGCTTAACCAACTGAGCCACCCAGGTGCCCCTGTATTCCCCCCACACACACCAGGAACCTACATATCATTTTCCACAGTGGTTGCACCAGCTTGCATTTCTACAAACAGTGCACAAGGTTTCTTTTTTCTCCACATCATCACCATACTTGTTTCTTTTTTGGTTTTAGCCATTCTGACAGGTGTGAGATATTATCTCATTATGATTGTGATTTGCATTTTCCTGTTGATGAGTGTTGTTGAGCATCTTTTTGTGTGTCTGTTGGCTATCTATATGTCTTCTTTGGAGAAATATCTGTTTATGTCTTCTGTCCATTTTTAAATTGGATTGTTTTTTGGTGTTGAGTTGTATAAGTTCTTTATATATTTTGGATTCTAATCTTTCATCAGATATTTTATTTGCAATTTCTTCTCCCATTCATTAGATTGTCTTTTAGATTTGTTGATTGTTTCCTTTGCTGTGCAGAAGCTTTTAATTTTGACATAGTCCCAATAGTTTATTTTTGCTTGTGTTTCCCTTGTTTCAGGAGATATTTCTAGAAAAATGTTGCTATCACAGATGTCAGAGAAATTACTGCCTGTCCTCTCTTCTAGGACCTTAATCCATTTTGAGATTATTTTTGTGTATGGTATAAGAAAGTGGTCCAGTTTCATTTTTTTGCATGTAGTTGTCCAGTTTCCCCAATATCATTTAAGTGTATTTCCCATTGCATATTCTTTCTTACTTTGTCAAAGATTAATTGATCACTTAAGTATGGGTTTATTCTTGTGATATCTATTCTGTGCCATTGATCTATGTTTCTTTTTTTGTACCAGTACCACACTGTTTTGATTACTACATCTCTGTAGTATATCTTGAAATCTAGGATTATGATACCTCCAGTTTCAGTCTTCATTTTCAGGATTGCTTTTGCTATTCAGGGCCTTTTGTGATTCCATACAAATGTTAGGATTATTTGTTTTAGTTCTGCAAAAACTGCTGTTGGTATTTTGATAGAGATTTCATTGAATTTGTAGGTTGTTTTGGATAGTATGGACATTTTAACAATATTTGTTTTCCTATTCCATGAGCATGGAATATCTTTCCATTTGTTTGTGTCATCTTCAATTTCCTTCATCATTTTTTAGAAAGATTTTATTTATTTATTTAAAAGAGAGAGAGCACAAACATGAGCAGGGGAGGGGGGAAGGGTCAGAGAGAGAGGGAGAAGCAGAGTCTCTGCTGAGTAGGAAGCCTGGCACAGGGCTTGATCCCAGGACCCAGGGATCATGACCTGAGCCAAAGTCAGACACTTAACCAACTGAGCCACCCAGGCACCCCTTCTTCATCAATGTTTTATAGCTTTTAGAGTACAGGTCTTTCACCTTCTTGTTTAATTTTATTTGTATGTATTTTATTCTTTTTGGCACAATTGTAAATGGGATTGTTTTCTTAATTTCTCTTTCTGTTACTTATTAGTGTATAGAAATTCAAAAAATTTCTATATATTGATTTTGTGTTCTGTAACTTCAGTGTATTCATTTGTCAGTTTTAGTAGTTTTTTTGGTTGAGTCTTTAGGATTTTCTGTATATAGTGTGATATCATCTGCAAACAGTGAAAATTTTACGTTTTCCTTACAAATTTGGATACCTTACCTTTCTTTTTCCCTCCTGGTCTGTTGCTATGGCTAGGATTTCCAGTGCTATGCTAAATAAAAGTAGTGAGAGTGGACATCTTTGTCTTATTCCTTAACTTAGAGGAAAAGCTCTGTGTTTTTTTTTTTTTTCCCCTCTAAGTATGATGTTAGCTGTAGGTTTGTCATATATGAACCTTTATTATGTTGAGGTATGTTCCACCTAATCCTACTTTGTTTAGGGTTTTTTATTATGAATATAATATACTTTGTTAAATGTTTCTTCTGCGTTCACTGAAATGATCGTATGGTTTTAATTCTTTCTCTTGTGGATGAGATGTATCATGTTGATAGATGTGACTATTGAACCACTTTTGCATCCCAGGAATAAATCCCACTTGATCGTGGTGGATTTTTTTTTTTTTTAACTGTAATGTTGGACTTGGTTTGATAATCTTTTGTTGAGGATTTTTGCATCTGTGTTTCATCAGAGATACTGCCCTGTAGTTCTCTTTTTTTCATGGTGTCCTTATCTGGTTTTGGTATCAGGCTAACAGTGGCCTCATAGAATGAATTTGGAAACTTCCCTTCCTCTTCTATTTTTGGGAATAATTTGAGAAGAATAGGTATTAATTCTTCTTTAAATGTTTGGTAGAATTCACCTGTGCAACTTTCTGGTCTGGACTTTTGTTTTTGGGAGTTTTCAGATTACTGATTTAATTTCACTGCTGGTAATAAATTTGTTCAAATATTCTGTTTCTTCCTGATTTAGTTTTGGGAAGTATTATGGTTCTAGGAATTTATCCTGTTCTTCTAGGTTGTTCAATTTGTCAGCGTATAATTTTTTGTAATACTCTCTTATAATCCTTTGTATTTCTATATTTTTGGTTGTTTCTTTTCCTCTTTCATTTTTGGATTTGAGTCCTCTCTCTCTCTCTCACTCTCTTTTTCTTTTTGATGAATCTGGCTAAAGGTTTGATCATTACAAAGAACCAGTTCCTGGTTTCCCTGGTCTGTTCTATTGTGGGTTATTGTTGTTGTTGTTTGTCTTGTTTTGTTTTTAGTTCTTATTTCATTTATCTCTGCTCTAGGCAGTGTTATTTCCTTTTTTCTACTGGTTATTGGTTTTTTTAAGTCAACCTTTTCTTGCTCCTTTAGGTATAAGGTTAGGTGTCTTATTTGAGATTTTCCTTGCTTCTTGGGATAGGTCTGTATTGCTATAAATGTCCCTCTTAGAACAGCTTTGGCTGTATCGCAAAGAATTTAGACTATTTTGTCATAATTTTCATTTATCTCCAAGTATTTCTTGATTGCCTCTTGGATGTCTTAGGTGACCCATTCATTGTTTAGCATCATGTTATTTATCCTCCATGTATTTTTGTTCTTTTCAGATTTTTTTCTTGTGATTGATTTCCAGTTTCATAGCATTGGGATTAGAAAAGATGCATGGCATGACTTCAATCTTTTTGAATTTGTTGAGACATTTTTGTGGCCTAATGTGTAATCTGTTGATGAGGATGTCCCATATGCACTAGAAAAAAATGTGTACTCTGCTGTTTTATGATGGAATGTTCTGAATGTATCTGTTAGATTCATCTGGTCCAAGTGTCATTCAAAGCCACTGTTTCCTTGTTGATTTTATGTTTGGATGATCTATCCATTGATCTAAGTGTGGGGCTTACTAT